TAATTAATTCCCTAGCTATTGACTAACCTCCTAAATACTAGATAGATTTAATCCAATAACGAGCATTATGATGAGAAAGATAGGTAAAGCTAAGCCACCTTCCTAAACACTAGAGAAGATGTAACCTAATTCTATATTTTTCAAGGAATTGAACAAAAACATCATATAATCATCAACTCCTAGTTATTACTACGAGCAAGTTTAGACAAGCATTTATATGGACTTAAATACTTAGCTAGCAATAAGTAATATAACTAAATAACTAGTGTGCACTCGTAATTAATTTAATCATACAACTATGAACCAATCATGCGTGAAAAACATAAAATACCCAATAGAGATAAGTTTTAAAATAAAGTCGGTAATCTCACGGTGATATGCCAAAGGTTTCAACTTGATTCACCTAGTGTTTGTCTATTCATAATGAGTTACAAAATAGTTTCAATGAATGGTGGATGCTAGGAGAAGAGAATAAGAGAGAGAGAGAGAGAGAGAGAGAGAGAGAGAGAGAGTAAAGTGAGATCCTAACTTCTCTATTTATTGCAAAAGGTAAGGTTATAACACATACATGGCAGCCCCAAATGGCCTATTTATTATGTCACATGGCTTTTTTGTTATGATACAAAGCTTGTTTGACTAAGGGACATGGCCATGTGATTTTTTGCCTTCATCCCATGAAAAAAGCCTTCGCTCGAGTAAAAAGCGTCCGTGTGAAATTTGCTCCGTAACTCTTATCTCTTAATAATCAGCTTGAATGGAATTGATACTTATCAAATTAGGATTTGCATTCTTCATAAAAGTTGTATACCTATGTTTAGATTTCCAAGGTATTAAGGTTTTCATCAATTGGATATCTACACTAGAAGTTATAATCGAAATGCTAACACCGACTCAACATGTCCGTGCAGACTTTAGGATTCCACTTTACATCCGAATTGCTCCATCATGATGGCCTAGTTTAGACCGAAGACCTACATAAGACTTATAGGTATGCCTTTTATGTATTCCATGGACTTGTCCTTACATCAATTGGAGTTATAAAACTCTAAATATGAATTAAACTTCCCAACCGATCCGGTTTCCGATTAGATTACGGATCGCTTTTCTAGACTAGAATATGAAATATCATTTTGGAGGCCTAAACAAACTTGGATTTTGACTCACTATATAATTTTGGAAATCTTGAGAAGTCCCCTATAAAGTCCTTGAAGACCACTTCTTTCAAATCCAAATTTAAGGCTTCGGGAAACCTATAAGAAGTCTAGAAGGTCAAAGTTAATCATGTTGGACATCCACATAGTTTCCTCCTTAGTTTCACAAGGCCAATAGCTATTTCTTCCTGTATCACACATGACCGTATCTCTCCTTAAGCTTCCTTAGTGGCTTTTAACTTCTTCTTAGTTTTGGCTTAGGTTTCTTGCTTCAATTCGACATTTGTCCTATAAAACCCAAAATCATTATCTTTATCTTAATTTCCTAAATATAGTATAATAAACATTAGAAAGTTCAATGTAGAAGAGTATAAAAATTTTACTAATTATGCACTCATCATATATTTCCTTTCTTTTGAAAATAAAAACACCTAAGGTCTCATTCTTGGAGCTTATAAATACGTTTCATGTTGTGACTCCTAAAGTAGGTGAAGACCAACATGAGAATCGACGTAATCACGAGGCTCACCTCAACTCAAGCAAGCCTTAAATATCTAACTATAATCCTCAAATCCGTATCACTTTAAGAATCATTTCTAGTTTAACATCTATAATCATCACTCTAACTAATTAGTATCACAAAGTTTAAGCATATCCATAATCAAATTCTAATACAATTTCCACAAGATATAAATGTAGAGCTTTTAAAAGATACAACAAAATCAAACATAAGTCCAATAGATTATAAAAGTTGAGTCGCATGATCAATGTGTTGACTTCAAGACAAACAACTTGTAGAAGAGAAAAGGGCAATCTCACAAATCCTATAAAACTGAAATGGTAGAGTGTGAACAAATCAACAATTGAGTGAGTAAATATTATATAACATATCTTAGAAAGGAAAATGGACTAAGGATGATAACTTAGAATTTGACTCAAAATGTAATGCTTATTTCTCCAAACTGAATGAATATCATAAATATCAAATCTTATATCATATCTTATATGGTTCAAAACCAAATCACATCTAAATATCAAATTATATATATATCATACAATTAAATGAAATCAAATATCTAAATTACACTTAAGGTGAAGATATAACATATCATTAGATGCAAACATCCAAAGACTATGCCTCATGTAGCTATGTTTTCATATATTGGACGATACACGAGCTAGCACTATACCTTTCCAACTAGTTAGAGCTTTACGTATTAGTAAGCTCAAAGGCCTCTCTATAGCTAGGTATCCCAAAGTAACCAATCAAAAAAAAAATCACATGAACTTATACATATCTCAAAAATATCCAAATCCAACTTATCAAATACAAACATGTTAAAACTCATATTTGATAATGTAATTCAATATCAAAATAACATTTACAAAAATTATCCAATTAAATCAAAATAAAAATAAAAATTAAATTATTTTAATGATATCATTATTTTAGTTATGTATGAGCATGTTTCGGAGCTCATACAAAAAGTTGTTGCAATGCAATAGGTGGAAGGAATCCTAGAGCCGGAGGTTGACAAGAACACCATATACCTTGAGGTTGTATGGGGGAAAAAGAAAAGGGTATATGGTGTAGCCACATAGCCGATACATTAACTATCCTAGTCAAGTTACAGCATGTCATCCTCTCGTGTCGTCGTATTATACCGGCATCGTTTCTAATAAGGAAGTTCGGAGGCGGTATAAGGAGATGAAAGAGGCAATGAAAGAGATGCATGTCAAATAACACGAGCTACAAAACCTTGTCACAGAGCAATAGAGCACCATATATAGGCTTAATTCTTTGTATGAAACAAAAGCCTTCATGTTAATTAGGCTAGCACGGACATTCGGGTTGCCTATAGATCCATCCACCAGCTTGAACTCTATCGAGCCCCCCTCCCCAATAAGTCTTAAGAGGAGGATAAGGGATCGGACAATTAGAATGACAATCGAGAGTGACAATTCATTTTTTTATTTGTTTTCTTTTCTTTCATACGGACTACTAAATCTTTTTTTATTATTAATTTATATTTAATTTTTAATAATATGTTGTTTCTTCTAATTGTTAATTACTACCGAGAATATCATTAATTTAAAAATAAAAAAACAAAATATAAAAATTTTAATTTTTTTAAAATATAATTAGCGACAGATTGCCAATAAATTTTCATGCCGATGGCGACTAAGTTGTGACAGATTTGTTAGATATTTAGCGACGGATGGCATTAGCTTCGAATATTAGTGATAGCGTATCGATCATTAAATAAGGATGAAACTAACAATGGAATAGCAATGCTTAATATAATGCTTTGTGATCATCAATTTAGTGACGGACAATGTCCTTTTTATGATGAAAATTTTGTCGCTACATTAGCAACGAAAGTTTTTCATCATTGCTAAGGTTAGTGACTAGCGTGTTATTTCCATCACTAAATGACTTTCGCAATGGATTTTGGCTAATTAGCAACAAAAAAATCCATCGAGTAATTGCCACTTTTCTTGTAGTGAAAATTGAATAAAAAAATTTTAAAAAAAACCCTAAATATTTTTTCCTCAAAGTTGTATAAAAAAACAAAGCTATAATTAAAATAAAAACTTATTTAAAATTAACAAATAAGAAATTAGCACTAAATAAGAAGAAAAAAAATATTTTTTTCTTATTTAGTATAGATGAAAAGATTATTTTTTAAAAGCATATATATATATAGTCATAAAATCATCAATAATATAGCATTAAAAACTATATTTGAATCATTGGGTGGTTATTGAAAAAAATATATATTTTGTTATTTTATTCAAAAAATAATTTTTTGAAATATCTAATGGAAAAAATATATATATTCTAATATTTATATTATAAATAATTTTACGACTAGTGTTCATCTAAATCCAATTCTTCCTTCAGTTCAAATCCCCGAAAGAGATTGCATTCCGATTAAAGCATTGAGCCAAATCAAACTTAGTTACAATTTAAGTATTGATCAAGTCTAATTTTTGGTTTAATTTACTTTTTGTTAGTAAATTAACACGAGATCTCAATTGTCTTTTAATTTTTTGATATGATTTTTTGTATGATATAGGATTTATCCTCAAGAAAGATGATTGGAGTAAGTAGAGTGAAAATGGTTTGTTTCATTTCGAACCAATGGAGATAGGAAAACTACTTATGGCAAAGGGACACAATGCAAAAGATTTATGGCATTGTTGTTGTTGTCATCTAATTTTTAACGAGTTTACCCTATAATTGGTCCTTATACGAGTTTCAATTTTTTTGATTGAGACCCTCTATTATTTTTTAATTTGATTAAATCCCTCTACTCTTATAAATTTATTGATTGAGAACCTTCGTTATAACACCGTTAATTAATTCATCCTACGTGATAATTAAAACTAATATAGCCAATCGGACAATGACACGTGGCATAATGAATCTAAAATATTAGTGTTGCTATCATAAATTAAAAAAAAAGATATAAAAATATTTTTAATAATAAATTAATGTTTAAAATTAAAAAATGAAATGAAAAGATAAATTTACCCCCACCCATCATCCCAAAACCAAATCAATTTTTTCCATTCAAAATTCTCATTCTCTCTATCTCTATATCCTCTCTTTCCCATATCACGATCCTTGCCCTTTCTATCATCCGAAATTTGAGACTTAGCACCCATGAAAATTTTCTTCGTCTTTATATCAAAATATATTGTTTGTTGATCAACCTTATAATGAAACAAAATTAAGACAAGCAAATAACGATAGGTAAGAGATTGGAATAAATACGGAACCCGAGAGAAAAGAAAATGTAGAACCCAAAAAGTGGTGATGATGGTGTGATAAGGAAGCAAGGGATGATTGGTCCGTGTTTGATGGAGTCCTCAAATCAACCAAGGGATGAGTCTATGGAGGTGTGGTTTTAATGGCGATAATTGATTTACATAAAGAGATTCGTGCGTACCGTTGCTAGAAAGGGTTAAAGAGAGACAAAAATGAAGCAATAGCAAGAATCAAAGTTCTTGAGTTAAGAGAGAAATCAAAGGTAGATCTTTTAGCTCGGTTGAAGGATCTCAAAGCTGAACTTGCTCTCCTTCATGCTACTAAGGTCACCGACGATGCTCCTAACAAGCTCTCTAAGATCAAGGTGGTGAGGTTTTCCATTGCACGAGTCTTAACTATGATTTCATAGAAGCAAAAGGTCGTATTGAGGGAGGCATATAAGAACAAAAAGCTTTTGCTCGTTGATCTACATCCCAAGAAGACCAAAGCCATCCGTAGAAAGCTTACCAAGCATTAGCTATCATTGAAGACCGAGCGCGAGAAGAAGAGGGAAATGTACTTTCCAATGTGGAAGTATGCCATTAAGGTGTAGGGTGGCATCTATTGCATAGGCTATTTTGATTATCTTTTTGGAACCCATTTTGTTGACAAGTTTTGAATTTGTATCGTCTCTATGTCTTGTTTGTGAACTATAGTTTTATTTTTTTTCAATTTATGTTTAAAAAGGGAGAGGGTTTATCTTACTCTTAACCAAAATGCTAGATTTATATTGGCATAATAGTCGAGGAAGATTTCGATAAAAAAAAAAAATTGATTTTACGGAGGGTGGCTTTGGCAAAAATAGTGGCGAGTGGAGTTAATGGCTATGGAGTTTTATATGAAATGGGTAAATGAGTTTATTGTTTCGGATTAGAGAAGCCATGGTTTTTTTCTAGTGGTTCGGATGAATGGAGAGGAAGATGAATAATTGTAGTTCTCTTACTCATTTTTTTAGCTACTTTTTTTCTTTATGTTTGATCGAATAGCAAAGAAGAAAATCTTTATATTTAAAATATTTTAAAATATTTTTTTAATTTATGATAACAACACCGATATTTTAGATTCATTATGCCACGTGTCATTGTCCGATTAGCTATCATTAGTTTCAATTGCCATGTAAGATGAATAGTTAACCGTGTTATGATGAAGGGTCTCGATCAATAAATTTATAAGAGTAGAGGATTTTAACCAAACTGAAAAATAATAAAGGATCTCAATCAAAAAAATTAAAACCGTACAAGGACCAATTATAGGGTAAACCCAATTTTTAACTCACTTTTATTTTATCGATTTTTCCCTTTGTTTATGATTTTTAGGAATCTTGTAAGTTTTATGAGTTTAGAATAAAATAAAATAAAAAGAGAGAAATAAATAAATTAGGATATGAGATCCAATAAAAAAATGCATGGAAACTTGGAACAAAAAAAATCGAGTTAGGGGCTTAATTGAAAGTAGTGCCAATTAGAAATGAGTTTGAAGAGAAAATGAACAAATGAAATGAGAAATTAAAAAAATGTAACAAAGAGAGCAAGTTAGGGTTTTTCTCAAAACTCTAACAACCACACTATATAAGCATCGGTTATTCTCTCACCTAGGGGAAGAGCACCCATCTTTTATTTCATAAGAAAAAATCAAGCCAAACACTCATTTTTCTCTCAAGGAATCTCCCTAGCCACAACCATCACAAACCTATCTTCTCCTTCAGCCAAATTTCAGCCAACAAACTCTCTATAAGCCCTTCGGACAATAGCCAATCTCTCAACCAAAATTCTTTAAAGAACTATTATAAACTATTAGTCAAACTCTCTTCCAATCTAGTACCACTCTACTACTTCGTCATACAGCGACCATCGATTCTACAGGAATATTTTGGTAGAAAATCTCCTAAAACAACCTCCATTCTCTATTCAAGACATCCCATATAGTTACTAGAACTTTTGATGAGTTTCTTTGCTTTTCTACCAATGTTTTCTTTTGCTTCAAATAATAGATTCGAGTGGCTCCAATAATAATGATAGTGGTAGCATCCTTTAGTCCTTCCTACTATGACTTCCAACAATGAAACACCACTTCCAGTTGATGGTTCTAGCTATAGTACATGATATATTCTACTCCAACAGACCTTTTGATTTTTTCCTTTTTCTCAATTGGCTTTCCCAACCACTTTCGATTGTAAGTTCTTTCTACAATTCATGATAACCTCTTCATCAATAATCACTCGGTGTTTCTAACTTTAAAAGATAGCCACATAACACACTTTCTCGATCAATTTTCCCTCTCTAATTGATAATACAAATTGTCTCTATTAGAGATTAAAGAAAGTGGTCAAGACAAACGAAAAAGGAATCGATGATTTGAATTGCTTTGTATTTCTTCTCTAGTTGACAATACAAATTGTTTCCATTGGAGGGTTAAAGAAAGGAAAAATTCACTATTGAATTAAGAGTTAATTTCGACATGCTTTGAGAATTTTTGTAGTTGTTTCAACCAACAAGGTAAGCTCCTAATACCTTTGTCTTGCATTTAAATTCTTATTAAATCCAAATACATTGAGATTAAAATTACAAATGAATATGTTATGTATGGATATTATGTAATATTCAAAGCATGATTTAAATATACCATCATGTATCAAACTCAAAAAGGTCAAAGACCCTAGGACCTTTTGAGAAATGATAAGCTCGATGTCCAATGCCTTACAATAAAGTTAGGATAATCGAGCATGAACTTTAATTTAAATGGTCATTTAGAATGAGCGTCGATCTCAATATGTATTTGAGAATGATGTTTCTCTTGTGATATAGGTGTTTAAATGTGATATTCATGCCATGTTTACTTATGTGATTTAGCCTTCATGATATGGTGTGTGAATATATTCGATCGATCAAAGTTAACTTTATGAGTTAACACCTAGTTTATTACCGATTTATTATGATGTGTGAATGTAATGAATTTGATGGGGTTAGCTTTAAAAGTTAACATTGCATTCATGTCGAATCAAATGTGATATTAGATTTGTATGACTTATTTATTAGGATAGGTTACTTGGACCAATAAACCTTAGGATAGGTTGTCCAAACAATAAATCATAGGAATAGGTTGCCCTAAACAAAAAACTTTAGGGATAGATTGCCCTAAATAATGAACCATAGTGATAAGTTGTCTTGAGCATCAAACCATACCAAATATGTGTTTACGAGTTGCGGTAGTTAGGTGCTCATCAATTCTTAGAAAGTTCCTTTTTTCATTTCATAGTATGGAAATAGTTCCTTTGACCAACCTATATTCCAAAACTACTCGATCTTCTTAATACATTTTTTTAACTCAAATAGGCATGGACTCATAACATGGTAAGACAAGAATTTTTAGCTTCCATATTTACATAATGCAACCTACCTCGGGTAAGACATAGTCGTACCGATCATAATCTTCCCCACTCTTAATTAACTCCTTATCTAGATATCTATGTAGATTAGTTTTTTTTTTTTTAAAGCTTCCTAGTTTCTTTGATGCTCGGTTGTAACCTTTTTTCTTAATTCCCTATCCTTCTTAGATATCAATTTTCCAAAATCAACGAATGTTGATAGACCCCATATGACCCTCATTTGGGACACATGCCAATAGATTGAGTTTTCTTAGTTATGGACTTTTTAGTAGTGATTGATTTTGGGAAAATTTTCTTTTATGATACTTGTGTAGGGCTAAATAGACTAGACATCTTCACTAACTCATACCAACAAATCCAAAAATAATTTTGATTTAGTACATTGTGATATTTAGGGTCCATACCATACTCTATCAAAATCTAGATCACATTCCTTTCTCATTATTATTGACTACTACAATCATGCCATATGGGTTTTCCTCAAGAAATATAAATACGACATAACATTCTATCTCTTATTCTTTTTTTAATTAGATTCAAGCATAGTTTAATGCAATAATTAAGGTTTTTCATACCGATAATAGTCTTGAATTCAAACACTCGGATTTTATGAAATATTATTTTGAGCATGGAATTGACATGCACATAACTTGTATAGATACTCCTCAACAAAATGTTGTGGTATAATGCAAACATTAACATCTTGTAGAGGTTGCTCTAGGCTTGTATTTTTCATGCAAATCTCCCAACCACTTTTTTGGGTGAATTTATTTTAATTCCAACATGCTTAATTAATTGAATGCCTCTTTTTGTTCTATAAAATAAAACTCGTTGCAAAATTTTATTTGGTCAACTATCTAGTTATGATCACTTACAAAGTTTTGGATACTTTTGTTACGGATATGTTCATACCTAGTCACGTGACAAATTTGCTTCGATAGTAAACCATACATTTTTTTTAAGTTATCCGTAGGGAAAAAAGAGCTACCAAATTTATGACTTGGAAAGCCGAGTGATCTATACTTCACGGGATGTTTAATTCTTTGAGGATGTTTTTCCTCTTACAAATTTACAACCTAAAAATACCCATTTTAGGCTAATAGATTAGACTACCCCAATTGATAATAGAAATTCTCCCATGAGCCTAACTCGTTTAACTAAATGACATTCTAATTAGGCTAGCACCTCCTTATATTTTATAGGATGAGAGGGTTGAGTTCATTTCTTCATAAGCTTATGATACCGTATTATGGTTCTCTTCCTCCACACATATTGGGCCATCCACTAACACATAGACCCTAAAAGAAGATGACTCATGAGCTATATTTTTTCCAATTCTATAGCCCACGTATATTGAGCCCTCTATTATCTCACGTACCTATGATAAAAGCTTTTACACAAGCTAGGCTTTTATCAACTAGTCAGTCCATTTTAGAGAGCATTAGTCTTTCCTTTTTTAAGTTATTAGTTTCTTTAGATCAACTCTCAAGTGGGCCTCTTTCATAGGACCATTAATCCACTTTCTCGTCTATTAGGTCTTCAACGTACCCATCCTTCTCAAGTTAGACTTGTGTTCAAGAACTTTTTAGGTTTTCATTATAATTTACCACCTTTCCTTTTGCCTCATTCAACTTTGCACTCTCCTCCCCATTTGGCCAATTCAACAATACATCCTTTATCTTATAATATTTCATATTCTAAATTTTTTAACACTCGTAACTCCTTTCTTATGATAATCTCTTCCATCGATAAGCCTAAATCTTTTTCTTAGATGGTGAGATATCAACATTACAAGGATGATATGGCCAAATAAATTTCTTCTTTGGAAGCTAATACTACATGGACTTTTGCACCCTTACCATTTGGAAAACATGCCATTGATTCCAAATGGGTTTATAAAGTTAAATTTAATTCAAATGACTCTACGGAATGATATAAGGCTTGTCTTATGGTGAAAGGTTATATTCGGATTGAAGGGATTTATT